CTCGGAAATGATAAGGAAGCGCTTTTACGAAATAGCTCTTGTACAAAATAAGTTAAAATATGTTCAGATATAGAAAATGTTTTATTTAAGTTTGTTTCAATGCTAAATAAAGCAATATAATTTATGATATAGAAAAAACTTTAATATTATGTAAAAACATTCAACTAAAATAGTCACTGGCTCCATAGCTCAGTTGGTTAGAGCGCCTGTCTAGTAAACAGGAGGTCGAGGGTTCGACTCCCCCTGGAGCCTCCTAGCCAGTAACTTTTTTGTTTTAAATTTCAGTACAATTTAATTTATTAAAAAAAAACAAAAATACATTAATTTGCAGAAAAGAATAAAAAAAAAAAAAAAAAAGCTTACATAAAATGTAATTGTATTAATTACTTTGAATTAGTCATGTAATCAAATTTGTAACATCTATTATTTTCTTTAAAGAGCTATTTAATGCCTTTTAGCCTGCTAAATACTCTATGATGATATGATCCCATCACTTATATTGACCAGTTGGGAAAAACTTGGGGGGTGGGGGAAGTGAGAGGAGAGAGAAAGAAAGGGATATCCTCTGATTGAATTTTTACCGTATTCCATTTTTAAAAGAATGAAAACAGGATAAAACTGCTATTTCGAAAACTTTGACAATTAATTTAAGGCGAATAGTCACATTTGACTAGTGTAACACCTTTAATAAAATCAATAAATTTAGAAAGCCTTTAGGATAGAAGACTTAGGTCTAAAAGGAAAGTAGCAATTAGGCCTATACATAAAACAGTGAATCATGATCTTCAAATACAAAAACAAAACCTAATAAAATGCACAGAAAGACACAAAGAAAAAGGCGCATTCCTTGTTTCATATGCTAGGAAAAAAATGTACAAATGCTATTAGTTCCCTAGTGTAATGGGTTGCTTGAGCCAGCCAAGTAAACCAATGACTTGGCAGAATTTAAGTCATTGGTTAACATGTATGACTAGATGCATGACCGGTAACGTCTGTATTTTATAAAATATTTAATGGTTTTGTTTGGACGGCAATGTGTTCAATCTTTGACGTCTACTATCCCATACAAAAACAACGGAGATGGTCATAATGGAGCTTCTCTATGCCGATGATTGCGCCCTGCTAACTCACAATGAACATGATCTCTAGAACGCGGTCAACGAATTTGCATACGCTGCATCCTCTTTCGGTGTATCAAGTTCCAGAAGGCACCCAATAAAACCTACTCAGTCCCAAGGATCACCGTAAACTGACAGCCCCTTAATGTGGTAGACCACTTCACATATCTGGGTAGTATAGTATCAAACGACGCCTCACTTTCAAGGGAAGTTGATAAGCGTCTGGCCGGGGCTAGTAGCGCTTTTGGACGCCTTCAGGCGAGAGTTTGGCGGAATAAATCGCTCCACCTGCCTACAAAAATCAATGTCTAGCAGGCGGTGGTTCTCTCAACCCCTCTATATGGATCTGAGACATGGACACTATACAGACTACTTGAGCGCTGTCACCAAATATGCTTGCGCTCCATCATGGACATACGGTGGCAAGACCGCACTACAAACAGCGATGTCCTTGCGAACGCTGGTATGGAAAGTATAGAGGGAATTCTTATGTTCCGACAGTTACGCTGGGCAGGGCATGTATCCCGTATGGAAGACGAACGTATGCCAAAGGCAGTCTTTTTTGGTGAGCTAAAAGGTGGTCGACGTAACAGAGCCCCCCCCCTCGGAAACGTTTTAAAGACCAGCTTAGGCGTCAACTTGCCTTAACTGACATAGAAGAGAGCACCTGGTCGCATGCGGCCTTAGAACGAGACTGCTGGAGGTCACTCACAAAGGCCGCGGGATACACATTTGAGACCAAAACAAAATCCGCTGCCGAGGACAGACGCAGACGGCGAAAAGAAAATCTAAATCTACCAACTGCGGAGAATGGTTATGCTTGCCCTGGGTGTGGCAAATATGTAGGTCAAAGCTGGGGCTGCGTAGCCACGGGAAATACTGCATTTCTCACTAATCTTCGAATTCGAAGACAAGCCTTATTAATGGTTTGAAGTACTACTTTGAAGGCAAAGCAGCCTCATGTATCAAATCATTAGTTTCTGATGGAGCACCTTCTATGGTTAGGCGCTACCGTGGATTTGTATGCTTTTCAAAACACAATTTCCCCGAGTGTTAGCAATACATATAGTTACTAATATTCTGAGGTAATGCAGTTAGCCGAATATAAGCATTGCGTTGAATATGTAATTATTTGCTCGAGTTTGTAAAGAAAAAAACGAGAACTTTCACCTACTGCTCATTTAAACTGAAATACGAAGGTCGTCGAAAGGCTTAAGTTGGAAAAGATTTTATTTCTCTTTTTGAGACCATATCAGAATTCTTGGTTGCTTAAGATCCAATTTTAAAACAAAATTAAATAAAACGGAAATAGGACTTTGATTACTTAACATATTTGTTTCATAAAAAAAGTAAAGTTAGGTTTTCAGACCCTGTGGTCTCTAGGGCAGATGATGCACGGTTAACGAGGGTGTCATCTGGCCAGCACAACGACCAACCGCCTTTTTTTTCACCCTAACTAATGTCAGGTACCTATCAGAGGCGCCCAAATATCACGAAATAAAAAAATCCCAATCTTCACCCAGTCTTCGAACCCGACACCCCCGGCTCGGAAGTCAAAAGCTTTATCGCTCAGCCACTGCGCCTCCATATTTGTTTCATAATCTTTGAGTGTTCGAATATATTTCAAATTTTTATCTATTTATCAGTATGACATCCTATCAATTGATCTTCTTGCTAAGATGGTTTTAAACCTTTAATGTCATTAATACATACAACTTTGTTGCATAAAATGCACATCGGCATGTCACAGCACTTTACCATTTGAATAACAGGATTATAATTTAAAGGCTTACCTAAAATACAAATCATAAGCCTATATGTATGTGTATGAGATAATACTATTAATAGGAAACCAAAATTAAAGTCGTAAACCCCCATTTACATCTTACAGACCCCTAATTAATTTTTTCACACTGTAGACCCCTTGGAATCTAGGTATACCCCTTGGGGTCTATATTGACCACTTTGAGAACTTGGGTAACAATATAATTAAGTAATATAATAGACTAGTCATTAGCTGATACCCGTGATACTCGGTTAAAATAGTTGGTTTTATATTTTGCCTAGAAATTCTTAAACCCATCAATTAAACGGCCCGAATTACAGCCCTCCTCCACCCAACACAATTCTCTGTCCCATAAATTCTATGTATTTTCTTCTATCTTTTAAATCATACAAACAAAGGACCCGAAACCCCCTTTAATATAGTATTGTTTATAACTCTGCCATGCGCATCGCCATCCATTTTATCTTCTAATGAAACGGCCGTAAGCCCATAAGCAGAACTGATACACGTGCTACGCTGCAGTTGAAATAATTGCTATATGTGTATATCGCCTTTTAAATAAAATTTTGTTATATTTAGGTCTTCGGACCATTTTTGATGTTTTTTAATAAAATTCAATGTATTTATTTCTTTTCATATAACATCATTATTTTTCAAGATATTATATGGAAACTTCATCTGTTTATTCTCTACATGCTAATAAAAAAAATGCATTAATATTTTTGCAAAAAAAACATTGAGGAAAAGTAAAAAGTAGTTTGATTTCAAATGTTCGTTTTTTGTTGTTTTCTCAAAATACTATTTTTGTTCACATGTTTTACTACTCCTTCACTAATTCTGCATAGAAATCAATCAAACTTGTCCAGCTTATTACTTATACCATGTACAACAACTTCTTTAATACATTTTCTAAGTCTGAATTAATATTTTGTCTAAATTGCAACAAAATGCTTGAAAAATGAAAAAAAAAAGTTTTTTTTTAAAGTTTTTACTATATTTAGAAACTAAATGCTAGAAAGTGTTCTGCTATGATTAATGTACACATTGTATATTTTCGTTTGGCATTAGCTTCAATAGTTTTAGAGCCTTAGCGATTTAAAAACGATAAACAAAAATCAAATATGGCGGCTTTTGCCATGACAACCATTAAAAAAAAACAATTTTAACCACATTTTTTTTAAGGTTATTCATCGGGATTATGCATATAAAGTTTGAAGTAATTTGATTAATAAATAAAAAAAAAAAGGTGTCAAGTGTCCCACATAACCTACAATTGTAAGCCAATCAATAAAACGGCTCGCTTTAAAACGCTCCCCCCACAGCTAACACGATTTACCAGCACTCACGTTCTATTAGTCCTCTTTATTTTTTGCCTCTAACATTCTTCAATCCAACTGCAGGAAAACACCTATTATTACGGAGTATGCACAAACATTTCTTAGGCCCAGCAGTTGTAGTGTTCTGTAGTGTAGTGCCTGCATTATAATGCCCCAGCATACGCTAATTTTAATGAAACGCCCCGTTTCCCCAACAACGCCATTTTATGGCCCTTGTATATTTAGTGGAATAGCTAGTATTACAATAATATCTCATAATTTTGGCATCCTCCAGTAGAAAGCCCTAATTTCCAACTTCGAATTTTAAGACGCCCAAATTTGTTTTCCTCCTTCAAATGAAAGGCTGGTAAAGCAAAGATGGAAACCAAGCATACCCTCCTAGCATATAATAATGCACCTGCATTTTGTAAATATTAGAAGTATTGTTTATGTTTATATTCTTCACGCTGAACAGTTTGAAAGAAGAAACATCACTTTTTTGCAACTTAGTCCACTCTTTACATATTTTTATTATTAATTCTGCCAGTCTAGATCAAGAGAGTGTCCTTCTTTAGAATAACTTATTCAGTGGCGTAGCTAGGGTATTTGCTGTCCGGTGCGGCAGCTTCTCCTAATGACCTCGAAACAATAAATAATAACAGCAAAAAGACTTTTTACCCCCAAAATGTATATTCATTGCTAAAGAATGGCTAATCGACAAGTTTGCACATTAAAATACTTTAAATGAATCTTACGTTCTTTCCTGCTGACAAAATTATCAATAATTTTATAGAAATCAATGAAATATAAACAAGCTTGTTTTTCAAGTATAATCTTGAACACTTCCATTCCGTGACGGTGAAGAAAAAAACAACATAAATACTAAAACTGAACAAAAGAAAGTTGCGTACCAAAAAAGTGTTAATAAGTGCTTAATGCGAAGGAACTTACGCTTTATACTTTAGTCATTAAAATTTCGGCTTTCAAAGACACATTTGGTAGAAACAACAAGTTGTTTTCTTTTTTTTGTGTGTAAATTTAACCACTGTGGCTTAGTTATTCTAGGCTTAAGTTAAGTTAGAGCATGTTAAATTTTCACATTTTATCGTCGTTGGCAAGTTGAAAAATAAGGGGATATATAAGAAACAATCTCTCGGGCCAAAAAATTTATATTATAGATTTTCCCAATTCTTGTAATTTGTTCTTCTACTGTTTGGCTGTATGAGGAGATATTACTGTGACCAACGTGATCTTGTATTGAGACAACCCTCCCACCTGACACCCACCTACATCTTTTCTATTGCTTTCACAATAAACTCACTTTATCTTATATATCCTGTTTATGTCTCATCAATGGAGACTATTTAACCAATAATAAACCCCTAGAACCATATAAATAACTTCCCCTTATATTATTTGCAAGGAAATAGAAACTCCGTGTTATTAGTTTTGTGATGTCTGTCCGTCCGTCCTGTTGAGATCACAGAAACTAAAATAGATATTGAAAATCCGACATCTTGATATTTTAGAACTTTCAATGTTCTGATGCAACGGCTCATTTTTTTTTCTTTTTTTTGAAAGCCAATCATTTAATTTTTAAAAGTAAAAATGCAAGCAGTTATTTTTACATTTTCTAAATAACTATTCATTATAGATAGTAAAAAAACAAACAAACATACACTGAAAAGTGCATTACCAAGAGAGGTGAATTTTTATATATTCAGCACATATGTATTTAATTTTGTTATTTTAAAATGTATATTAATAATTTATGTGTTGTTGTTTTTTTGTATGATAACTACAAAAAAATGTATCGTTTGATCCTCTTTTTTGTTTACAAGGCTTAAAAATGCACTTAATATGTAAAAAACGCAAAATGATTCTTTGAAATCGTTCTTTTGACCTATATTACTTTTACTCCTCTTACCAGAAGGTCACCATATGACTTCATCAATAATATCAATTCATGGTCATTTTATTAAATAACAAATTCTTACGTTAGAAATAATTCAAATATACAAAAATATATATTTATGCAAACCTGAAATATCATAAGTTTATATTGTGGATTTGTAACCGACAAAACAAAGCATTCAAAGTGTTTATAACCAACTAGATATTTATTCTATTAGAAAGGTCAGCAGGTGGTCTAGGTTTAACCAAAACATATAGAGTTCGATCTCATTTCAGTTTCAGGTCTTTCATTTTATATTTTCATTCCTGAGACTTTGTGACTCATCTGCTTTTTTTGTTGCAGGACACATTAAAGACGAGAGATCTATTTATAATTGACCTACTTTACTAGTATTGTTTCTTTTCTTCTTTTTTTTTCCAGTTCTTCTTTTGAGAGCAGCGCATCGGTGCAACTTATTGATACATTATCGGAGATAAACACGATTATTATTGTCGTGAAATAATTGTAAAAAAAAAAAAAAATCACTTTGAAATCTGACTTACAAGTGTTGGTAAATAAACATTATCGTGACTTCGTTAATGCTCGGTCGTTGGCTTGCAGCCCCAAACAGCTAGTACAACTAAACCCCAAATGCAGGCGTATTAAGTTTCTTAGTGAAATAGACATGAAATAAGCTTGAAAAGACTTCTTTTTTAAACACAAATTAAAATAGCCCTAATTTATAAATATACATGAATTTATCTTGGAAGTAGATGTCTAGAGAAACACGTGAAATGATAATTAAAACAACGTAGACCCTTATAACACATTATACAAACACGTCCTCTCTCATTTCTCTCAAAGACAAAAAAAAAACAACAACAACTAAGGAACACATCATGGAAAAGGAACGAATGCCTGGGCATTTAATGGTCATAAGGATTTCACCTCTCTACACAAGTGCTAATATAGTTTGGGATCATCAGTGTCGCAGGCTCTGCCAGAGTGTAAGCACAATGTGCTGCTATTTTTCCTCAGGTCTGACTCCCGAAGCCTATGTTTTGGTATATCTGAGGTTTGAGTTTTGCTTCTCTAGTTGGGTTACTTTAGATTAATTGTCATAAAAATATGTATAATATATTATGTCGCTACCACTCTCTAATGTACATTTTAGAAACGTATAAATCCTTAGTAAATGTAAATTTAAGTTTGAGGGCATGGTACTAAACGTCAGCAATCAACAGCCCCCCCCCCCCCCACCCCGAAATAGCACTCGTAAGCAGCCTTGAAAAAAAAAACGTAATTGAATGTCGTGATTGTATGTGTCTGGGTGTAATAAGATGAATAGTCGGAACGGTGTCGTCCACACATCAGTTCATACCTCTCCTCTCAACGGAGGAAAAATCAGAAGACTTAGAATGTTTTCACAGCATTTTATATGAATGTGTTGGCTCACACTCTACTTTTAGTTTCGTTGCATGTCGATAAAAAAATATAACAAACGTTCTCTATGTTTGACATAGTTCTAAATTCAATCTAATAGATCAACAAAAGACAAACTAAGGGCCCGCGGGTCATATTCGTCTAGTAAAAAATATTTTGTGTTTATTTAAAAAATGGCGTTGCTCTCAGAAGACCAAACATAGCCTTTTCACAAATATTTTGCAAGCTTCAAAATATTACGACATCGGATTTTCTATGGTATTTATAGCTATTAATATCTAAACGTGACAGCCGGACGAAACTTAAACTAAAAGAGGCTTATCTTCGCGAGCCACCAAAATGCCAAGACGGGTGGGGGAATAAAAGGACAAAAAATAATTTGTAGATTACTTCTTTCCTCTTTCTCAACTCTCTAACTGCGGATTCGTTCGCTCATTTGTTTTGCTATGCTGGTACCGGAAAGAATATTCTTGCCTATCTACTCTAGAACATTAGTTCGTGCTTTTACAGGGAACTTAACTGTAATTGTAATTTAAAATATTAATGGTGTTTCTCTACTCCTCTGCCCCGAACCCCACTAATAAATAATGAGCTATAAATGTCAGGAGAATGCGTTTCTTCAGTGAAGAATGCAAGAAATCGCTTTTGGCGTCGGGGCTTCGCCGCGACCCACTGATAAATAATGAGCTGTAGATGTCAGAAGGATGCGTTTCTGCAGTGAAAAATGCAAGAAAACGCTTTTTGCTTCGAACCCTACTGGGGAATCTTACAGCGCTGTCCCAGACCCCCAAGGCCTCAACATGACTTTTTTTATTTCGCCGAAGGTTGAGAAACACTGCTTTATTTTATATATATATATGCTGTACGCACGTTTATCGCCCCCCCCCCCCCCCCCCAACTCCAAAGTTCTGGATCCGTTAGTGACTGAGGCTAAAGAAAACAAGATAAGAGGAGAACAAAAAACAACAACTGTTCGGTTATTTTTGTTCGTGTATGTCTATAAATTTAACCAGTGTCGTCGCCCCCATGTCACATAGTACATTTTAGTACTTATTTTGAAGCTAGTAAAAAATGTATTTAAAAAAAAAAACAATGTCAAATACAATTCATTTAATTCGACAGTTCAATTACTTCGAAATCACAGTTTTGTCGATAAGAATGTTTGATTTGCACTTTCAATTTAAAAAACAAAAAATGTGGTTTCAATGTATGGACTGCTTCTGTTATCTCCAGGTCATTTGACAGTGTTGAAATTGAAAAGTTGTCTTTTTGAACTTGAAAACTACGTAAAAGGTTAAAGGTTCTGGAAAAGCATGTCTATATATTCACGATTACATGATGTGTTCTCATGAGCTTGTGGACCAGTGGGAGCGAGAACACAGCGTAGAATCCAGTAAGTTTAAAAGAACATAATGTTACTTGCTAGTAGTTAAGTATTTCTTTTCTCGGAGCGTCTTTGTAAAACGTGAGATTGATTACTTTGTGTTGTCGTGTTGGCTCCATTGCCTTCATCGATGTCTAGTCTTGAGAAAAGGTCAGAATTTTAAAAAAAAAAGCAATAAAAAAAAGGATACCTTTTTAAAAACAAAGTTTGTCCGGTGGGAAAGAACCGTTAGTTACTATCATTTTTTCTTAAATATGCAGGGTTTATTTTCCTTTCTACTATAAAAAAAAATAAATTAAATACTTAGTACCAATTGATCAACTAATTGGTTAATTTATGGATAGATTTGTGTATTGTCATCGACTATGAATACCTATACAAAATTTAAACTTGATCTGAGAACAGAAAGTGGAAAAAAATGTGTCTAAACATAATTAGGGGATTAAATCCATATAACCATCCCCTTTTCTCATTAAGTAGCATTTTCCCCCTCATTTCGATACGAAACAAAAAAATAATCACCAATAATTAAAAAATCGATTGTAAAAAAAAATTTATTCACTCATATCTTTCCATGTACAATAAATACGTGAATGGGAAACGGAAGAAAAGCATGTTCAGACAGACAGACAGAATGAGATCTTCTTCCTTTCCCCCTTTCCCCCTTTCCCAACTGGTCAAGGCAAGTGATAGGATCATAGCGCAGTGAGAAAGCTAGAGGCTAAACACAAACAATTGGTAAAATAAGAAAAATATAAAAAATAGTTTTAAAAACAACAAGGCATATATTAAGTTTATTTGTATCAATTAGTCTGGATCAATAGTGTAATTAAATTGTAATAGATTTAGACAAACAATAACAAAGCTTTAATAAAAATAAAAAGATTATATTGTTATCTATTGTTTCTATTATATGTTTGTGTTCACTAAGCCTGAGACGGCGGCCAAATATAAAGGGGACTAATTCAGCTTATATCATCACTTCAGTGAAGTACTATGTCATTCCCTTGTTTGAGATACCAAGCAAAGAAATTTATTACCAATAGTTAATTAACTAATTGTTTTGTTGTTGTTTTTTTTTTAAAGTGATTCTTGTGTTGTCAGTTCAAAGGAATAAGTATGCAAAATTTGAGCTTTTTCCAAGATTGGATGTCGGAGAAATAACGTGTACAAACTTTTGGCCAAAAATACAGACAGAGAGACACACAGACAGAGAGACACACAGACAGACTAATTGATGAACTAGTTGGTTAACTTTGTTAGTTGTGTCAAGTTTAAATTTGATCCAAGAAAAGGAAAGGAGAGAAATAAACTGTATAATATTTTTTGCCAGACAGACTGACGCAGTGACTTGATATTAGTTCGGTAAAAAAAAAATACATAGCTACATATGCATAAGTATTTATGCTTAAATAAATGTATCAAAGGTAACTTGTTTTTATTTCTAATTCTAGGGAAGACACATCGAACTAAACATAAAAATGAAGTTTCTCATTTCATTAGCTGTGATTGGCGTCCTCACCATTTGCTGCCAGGCTCAGGATCCACTCAAGGAGAAAGTCTTGTGTATTATTGAGACACAGTTGTCCTCCTCGAGCTGTAAGAATTCTGCTAGACTGCAAGCCAACGCCGAAAATGACCCCGCCACCGCATGCGCCACTCTAGAAGCCCTCAGACTCCTACTCGAAATTGTGCACTGCACCAGCGCAGACTATGATCTCCTTCACTCGGTCGTCTGTGAACAGAAGGACATCCCTTGCTCACTATCAGCCTAGAAGTACGACAGGCAACAAATGACCAAATGTTCTATATTATATGTACTGCGAATATTTGTTTCATCATATGAAATAAAATGAAATCGTCAATTTAAAATGGTTTTTGTTTAAAAAAAAAAAGGCATATTTTTGCTATAACCCGAAATATTGGGTCAAACATTTGAAGACGTCTTCTTGGCAGGAGCAGCAGATTTAGAGGTTTAAAAAAAAAAAGCTTGTCTAAGGGAAGGAACCGCTAAGTATGCTATTTATCTGAAAATTACGGGGTTATCTCTCTTTCTGCTTTATAAAGCAAAGTTAATTAATTAGTACCGTACTAAATGATTAAGTAATTGGTTAATTTTTGAAATGATTCGCGTATGGTTACTGACTATGACTAATTATAGAGGCTCGGTGGCTGAACCACATGACACCCTCATTAACCGTAGGCTATAGAAACAGATGCCTTTTACATCATCTGCCCTTTAGACCACAAGGTCTAAAAGGGGAACTTTTTTTTAATGAATAATTATGTAAAATTTCAATTTGATCCGAGAATAGGAAGTGGGAGAAAAAACGTGTCAAAACGTAATAAGGGGATTAACTCTCTCATTTATTCCCCTTATTTCAAAATCAAACAAAACAATTAATCACAAAATTATTAACAGTTTTTTTTTTTTTTTACTGATTCATCTCATGTAAGGCTTAATGAATGATTGTGCAAAGTTTTCACTTGATACATAAATTGGAAATGGGAGTAAAATCCTGTGTAACATTTTTTTCAGTGAGACAGACAGACATACGGACAGAGTGAGTTGATAGCCTATACGTTTTGTAAAAACAACAAGATAACAAGTAAATGTTTTTTAATGGACCTCATTCACCAATCGTAAACAAACAACATTTAGCCGTGTGATTCTCTTCTATACAAATTACGATCTAATTTTAATCAACAATAGTTATCACGTGACAATTTTCAGTTGTTTTATCAATATTATCACGTGACAGTTCGTTTTGGTGAATGAGGTCCATTGAAATATGTTCAAATTGGGTATAAAAATGTTCATAAGTCTAATCATTTTCATAAAAATTTTTAAACGTATTGTATCTTGGTTTTAAAAAAAATTATGTTAGTTTTTTTCCCCTGCTACCTTAGCTAATTGTATTTTATTTATCTTTAATTTTTCAGTATGACTTTTTTTTTTTACTTTGTTTGTCGGCAACATCTATAGCTTGTTTTTTTTTTCAGGGTAGCCAATTAAATTTCTCCGTTGCATTTTTCGACAACTTTCTCCCACCCCTCTCTAATCCAATCTTATCAGCGAAAGTTAAAATAGTTTTAAAATAGTGTAGCAATCAATAGTGTAGAACAATAAAGTTATTCATGTTTACGTTACTCAATTCTTAAATAGTATTGTAATAACTGAAGGGAGGTAACTCAACGAGACATAGACGTTTATTTACACGGAGACATGACAAACACAAAGGGGCATCTGCCTTGAGTACAGCATCTCCATATTGGCTCTCTACTTGGGCGGAAATCCTTCTTTCCCTCTAATGTCAACATCCGACTTGTCTAGTCACAGATAGTGCGCACCTTCTTTCTGCACTATCTTGGATGGCGGTGCGCGTGGCAAAGTCATAACAGTATACATTTTCTTAAATAGTAATATCCACTTATGTTCCTAACAGCCAGCAAGTAACAAATAGATCCATTGGTAAATTTTCAACTTTTTCATAAATTTATGTTAATTAATTATACCACCACATCATTATGTTCAATTATGTTATTCTTAATACAGCGGTTCTCAACCTTTTGAGGTCCGCAACCCCTAATACAATTTTCCACTATGCGGCGACCCCAGCCATATTTATTTTTCGTTTGTAGG